TAAACAAATTAATAACAAAACGAAAAAAAATGTCTGTCGCGTTTAGGACTTCATTGGACTAAAGTAAGATTTTTATTGATGGAATTACATATGTTTAGGAAGAGGAGGGGAATATTAAATAGATGCAAGCGTTATTTATAATTATACATAGACAGAAAACGCAGAAAGTGTTGAAACACTTACATTTTAAACTATTTTTTTTTTAGATGTGTCTGGGTATATAAGTTCATAGTCTACAGAACTATTGTAATCTCGACTCTCTAGTTCGCCTGTGAGATCGGGGTAATCTACCGAGGAGACATACGCAAAGATAAAAGATTCCATCAAATGAAACTTTGTCAAACAAGGGACAGGATCGGATCAAAAACAAGGAAGTTTTCCTCCGTGCAAAGATGGAGAACCTAGAAACTATCATGACTCGTCACCGAGTTCGATGGGCCGGTAACCTTGCCCGAATGTCAGATATCCACCTACCAAAACAGATACTCTTCTCGGAGCTCGAATCTGGCAAGAGACCACGTGGAGCTCCACGTCATCGATTCAAGGATCAGATCGAAAACACCTTGCTGAGGTCTGAAATCAATCCGGTCAATTGGATGACAGAAGCTGCAGAAAGAACCAGCTGGAGAAGAGCAGTTCACAAAAAAATGAACATCCTTCGAAAATACCAGATAAATAGAAGAGATGAGAGAAAAGCCATGGTTCTCTCTCCCCTGAATCATCCATGTGGTGGCTGCAGATGTCTCTTTAGATCCAACATAGGACATTTCACACGAAGGAAATGCCGATGAGCACCCCAATACTCGGCAACGCGTTCCACTGACAACAATATATATAAATAAAATGTGTGGGAGTTAACTCTATCCCAGAAAAGTTTTTACAAAGTTTTCTTCTGCGCAAAGATGGAGAGCGTAGAAACTGTCATGACTTTCCATGGACTTCAATGAGACAGACACCTTGTCTGAATGCCAGACATTCACCTACCCAAACAAATCCTCTTCTTGGGGCCTGCATTTGGCAAGAGACCACATGGAGCTCCACATCTTCGATTTAAGGATCAGCTCAAAAACACATTACTGAGGACAGAAATCAATCCAGTCAATTGGGAGACAAAAATTACAGAAAGAACCAATTAGAGAAGAGTAGTCCATAAAAAAAAAACATCGTTTGAAAACACCAGAAGACAAATAAAAGAGATCCCAAAGAAAATCCAAAACTCTCTGTCCCTTGAACCATCCATGTAGTGGCTGCAGATGTCTCTTTAGGACTCATTTCATACATATGGAAATGTCGAGGGGTACCTCAATACTCGACAACGAATTCAGCCAACGTCGACGACGACGAAGAGCATTTACCTGTCCCAAAAAGTAGTTGCTTGGTATGTCAAATATAATCAAATGATATTTACCTATTACGAAATTACTTGAACCAAGTAAATGATTACAGACTGGAAAATAGAAGACTAATACGATGCTATTTTCAAACGACATAAACTGAAATATAAACAAGCAATATTTACCTGCCTCCGAATCACATGTACACTCAAATATAAGCAACCAATATTTTCTTCTCCTCGAATCGAGGAAATGCTCATAGATTCAAATATAAATAGCCAATGTTCACCTGTCCCGAATCGAATGAATCCTTATATATTCACATCGAAACGACCAATATTTACCATTTCTCAAAGGAAATGCTTATCGACCGAAATATAAGCAACCAATATTTACCTGACCCGAACGTTCAAAGACTCAAACATAAACTACCAATATAACTTATTCCTGAACTACTAAAATGTTTACAGACTAAAATACAAAACAAGGACAGATTTCAGAATTAAATAACCCAAATAGAATTGATATCTAACAACACAACCCATCAACCCAAATTACGAGCGTACAACCTTGTGCAAATTAATTGAAACAACCGCTTTAGTTTCATTTCTTTCACCATACGGTTAGCTTTAGACCCATTGTAATGACAGAGTGTAATTGATTTCTATTTTTTCCTCAGATTAGGTCATTTGCAGTGGTGTGCAGTAGTATGAATCTATTTTCGGGGTGTATGTTGAAATTTGTTTGACCTTGAAAAATATTGCGTCATTCGTGATTGCATCAGATTTTTATCACGCTTAGACACTATTGTCTCGAATGTCGATTAGTTGTCCTACGGCCATTGTCAGCGATGGACGTTACTCCAAGGAAGCCTACGACAATTGTAACACTGCACGAACACACTGGCAAGCCTTACAAGTGAGTAAATCAAAGTACTATAGACTGGCCCGGAAACTCTCCTGATTTAAATCCAATCGAGAATCTGTGGTCAATCTACAAGGAATGACTTCGTGGAATGGACATACGAAGTACTAACATGCGCACTGGGTCATGTTTCATTTGAAAAAATACGAAAAAAATGTAAATAATAACGGAATTATTCGTTTTGTTTCAATTAATTTGTACAAGGGTCTAAATAAAAAAAAAATGTCCACATTTTCGCTATAACATATATTTAGCACACAGCTTTCTGCTCATGCGTGCTTATAGTTGGTACTAGTGTGGTCACGTGATTGAAGTTTGCCCTTGATTACGTCAGCTTTCTTGCTACTGTTACACCACAAACAGTGTGCGCCAAGGAGGAACACAGTGCTGTGATGCGATTACTCCAGTCGAAATGTGTGTCAGGGATTGAAATTCATCGGAGACTTTTAACTAATTTTATGGCGACAATGCACCACCATATAGAAGAATGCATAAGCAGATCCACAAGCGTGACGCACAAAGAAGCGAGAATGCCGCACGTCAACGTCCACGTCAATGACGAGAAAATTCAGCAAGCTCGAGACATGGTAATGGCGAAACTGCGAATTATCATCGATGAGGTAGCATGCTCTCTGCATATTCAGATGACTGTTCCTTGATGCACACTTCTAGCGGAGCGGCCATGTTTACACTGTAACAGCAGCAAGAAAACTGGGGTGTTCAAGCTCGAACCACAATAGTACCAATTTTTTTGAACATATGTAGAGGGCTATCCCTTGTTTCCTGTTTAGGATTGGGTCTTTTTAAGCTCGATACTTGTTCTTTCCTATGCTAATATAAGCCCACGCTATAACCCTCTACCTCGAGTGGCTCTTAGGCCTTGTATTGGGTGAACATTATTTAAAAATAGCTATGATCACGCATGAGCAGAAGGCAATGTGACAAGCCTAAAAATATATTATGGTGAAAGTACGAACAATTTTTGACTTACACCCGTAGAATTAAGTTGGCAAAGGAAAGAAAGAAGGCACTGAGCCAATTTTGCCATTGTCTGGTGTCATCGCTAAATGAGTCTTTTGAAAGGTCATTTCAAAAATGTATTATGGACCTGAGATATTGTAAAGAATTCAATCAGTAATACTTTTTTTCCTTTTTATTTTATTTTGCGGAACTTTTCAATGAATAATTTCTAGAGCTTCCGAAGTTTCTTTCTTTCTATGTGCCGTGTCCTTTCAGGACTTGGACGATCAAGGCTCTCCCTTCTCTCCCTTGCAGCGCTCAACAAGCCCCTTTCCTCTGCTTCATCACCAAGACCACATTCTGTCATCCACTTGCTTAAGCCCACCAGGTATGTTATACATTGTTTTCCCTTGTCTCTCTTACCCTCTATTCGACCGGTGAGTATCAAATTCTCCAGGCCCTCTTTCCTCATTACGCGTCCCAGAAACTTCAGCTGTCTCTTCTTGATGTTAAATATAAGCCTCCTCCTTGTTTGAATACAAGGTCTGGACTGTAGGGAGGATAAGAGACAGCTTTGATGCCCATTAACCATCTCCCTGTTGTCAACACGTCTTTTTTTCTGTTCATCAATCAGCAATCTGTGAACAAACTTCGGATCTTATTGAATAATTCTGTGTGCAGTTTTCACACCAACTCTAAACTGTATGCTTATTGTTTTAGAGGCACATGACGATCGTTATCTAGAAATTTATGAATTTTCTGAACTACCTTTGAAGTTTTGACGTCCGCGTCCACATTGTCTTCCTCCCACATCGCTCACCGTCTCTCACATTCTCCCCACCCCCTTCCTTGAACCTCATGTGCTAGTGGGAATCACATGCTCGTCTCATACAAGTTAATCTGCAAGCAGTTCGGACCATTTCATACGATTCTGTAACATTTTTGCCCTGTTTGACACAAAGCTTTATTGCATAGCGACCTTCCAAATTGTCTTCATGCCCTGGCTACATTCTGCAAACTTGTCAGCTTTGACAGTGTTTAGTCGGGTATGTTCAAAGGGCTTTTATAACCGTCTCCTTCAGTCTGAAACAAGAAGATTTGGCAATTCAGCTTAATAAATGAAGAGTAATTATTTACTAAATGTAAGAAAGTTATTGCGCCTTCAAAAAAAACAACAAAAAAAACAGGAAAACAAAAAAACTTGAATACACCTCGTATATATCGGGTTATCGGCTTGGGAGACAAAACCATGTCCCAGACCATGTTTAAATTGTTGACTGCTCCTGTTATCCTTTCATATCTTTTATTTTCCTTTCTTTTTGATTCTTTTAACCCTCACAAGATTCCAGTCGCACATGAGCATTCCCATTGCATTAATTCTTACCAATAAGTTTCATTATGGGAAAGGCTTTCCTTGTGTATTCTTCCTTTCTCTGTAAATATGCAAATTGAGAGCTTCAGTCTAGTTTCATCTAACAAAATGACACACTTTCAGGATGTGTCATTTTTTTATCCTTGTTTTCTTTAGCATACCTCAGTCTGCTCTGGAGGTGTTCCTTCTGCAAAAAATGGAAACCTTCTTGGTCTGTAATACTTATTTTCTGGAATTGGAACACGGCTTATCCATTGCAGCGGCACATCTAAACTTACAGCACTTGGTATTCCGAAGCAGTCACCCATTCAGTTACTGACCAGGTAAGTCGTTGCTTAACTTCGGTGATCGTACGAAATGTTTCAAAATGTTATTGCCGTAAGTTCTTTATACTAACTGCATACCAAAGGTTACAGCACCTGGTATTCAGATGCGGTAAACGTTCTGGATACTGACCAGGCTCAACATTGCTTAACTTCGGTGATCGTACGGTAACCGGTGTTTCAACGTGATATGTCATTCAGCCCTTTATACCAGCCGAACAGTAGCTGGTATTCTCAAGGGGTTAACAATCCAGGTTCTGATCATGCTCGACGTTGTCTGACTTCGGTAATCTAACAATAACGGTTTTTTTAACGTAATATGGCCGTAAGCATTTTATGCCACTTGTACATCCAAACTTATGACCCCTGATATTCGCAAGTAATAACCAATCTAGGTACTGACCAGGAACCACGTTGTTTAAAATCAGTGATGGTACGAAAACCAGTGTACCTGTTGTATGATAAATGCTGTCTGTGCTTTGAAAATAATCATTTATCACCTGTAGTTTGCCTTGAAATGAAAATAAGCCACCTGAAAAAATAGATTCTAACATTTAAATTTGCTGAATCGAGGAATAATTATGTTCAATTTAAAAATAAAAAACTATGGAAAAAAAACGGTATTTCTTATATATGAAGAGTATAAAAACTTCGGAAGACCAAGGAATGTTCAATCGAAAATTTTGGCTTCCTGCCTGAAAAACGCTTTCTCTTTGGTCTATTCGAAACGTAAAAGCAGAGAGATGAAGTGTTCCTGTGAAGAGACCTGTGTTTAAGCGAAATGTAATTTATGGTCGCATCAAAAGATTCTTTTCGCGGACAAGGAAACAACTCCAATTAACTGGGCCTCAGATGATAGTTCGTTCACACAAATTATCCAAATAATCTTTAATCAGACGGGAGATGGACAGAAGCGTCATATCACGGTGGGAAGAAGTCACAGACTCTAATTATGTTACGGATGCGGTTTATTTGATTTACGTAAGAATCCAAAATGAAAGCGAGGCTTATATTTAAGAATATTACAAAGTATTGCAGTGGGGGGGGGCTGAGGGAATTTATAATGGGATTGAGAAAAAACAATAGTGGCGAATAGAGAAAAGAGAAGAACAGGGAAAACATAAAGCTATACAAATATAGGATTTAATGACTTTTAAAGTTCCTAACGACATTTCGATAGTGCTTTATGAAGAATTAAAATTAGAGACGTTTCTTGTTTTTTTTGGTTTTGTTTATCAAAACTTCTGAAGATTTCTGAGATCAAAGGGAGATAATCCATCAAAGAATTGAACTGATTACTTGCGCATGTGCGTGCTTATATCTCGTGCCTGTAATTGTGAAATGAATATTTTCGTGAGAATGCGACGCTACCTGCATATGTTGACCTGGGCAGCAATCAACGCGTGTTTGTGTATAAAAGCTTGAAAGAATGTCCTTGGATCGTTATTTGCGTAAACACACACACACACACACACACACACACACACACACACACACACACACACACACACACACACACACACACACACACACACATATATATATATATATCAGCCTGTTCATATCTATCTACCTATCTCAGTCAGTTCATATCTTAGTCTGCTCACATCTATCTACCTATTTCTATCTATCTCAGTCTGTTCATATCACTCTACCTCTCTACATCAGAAAAAATGTTAGCTCGCATAAGAAATTGTATAAAAAACTAAATAAAAGTACCTTGTCTGTCGTATTCAATGAAATACATATATATATATATATATATATATATATATATATATATATATATATATATATATATCATGATGATGTTGGACTCTCCCGTCGTTTTCGACGTATGAGTGTCTTTCAGTTCAGTTTTAATATTTATGTTTCGTATGAGACAACAATCCTGCACGAGATTTGCAAACGAATCCACACGAAGGGCATACTGAAAGATTGAACGTCATATGAGCTGATGTATTAGCACGAGATTTAGTGTTAATCCTTAATTCCCTCAGATAGTTAAGACGATTCTTTTCAAAGTCAGTCATACCTCGGTAGCAGGTGTTTCTCCAGTTTGCACTGTTTCCAACAGCGAGTTCGAACTCCTCTATAGGGACGTTTGCAACAATTAAATTTTTATCTAAGTTTATCCTTGAAGCGTAACCAAGGACGGCCTAAGTTACGCTTACGATGAAAAAAGTTGACTATACATGAGGATTACACACACACACACACACACACACACACATACACACAGATATATATATATATATATATATATATATATATATATATATATATATATATGTATATATTGTTACGGTAATCCGATATTTGTACACTCACCTCAGATTTTATAAGTATATTTTAAGTACATTGTGTATGTGCGGCGAGGCATAGGAATATTAATAACTTCTTTATTTCTTGAAAAAGCAGATTGTGAGATATATATATATATATTTCTTTCATCCCCAGTTGAATTAGGGCCTGTTCTCGGAAGAGAACATCTTAATTTCTGCCTTGTTCTTGATCGTAAGCCAGACGAACGTCGTTTGACAAAAAGTGCAAGTGACCCCCAACAGTATTCCATGAATGACGCCTACGCATTTTTCGGAGGCTGTCACGTGCCGGTTTTGTTTCGCGCGTGTCGGGGTAACAATTCTTCACTTAGTCGCTTGCTCCCGGACGAGGTGAACGTCATCAGAGTCTGTCTTAGCCGTTTGCTGTTGGAAGACGTAGGTGTCACCGAAGCCAAATTTCGTTTTTTGCTGCCCGAAGAAGTAGATGTCACCGAAACCACATTTCGCTGTTTGCTCTCCGAAGAAGTAGATGTCACCGAAACCAAATTTCGCTGTTTGCTGCCCGAAGAAATAGGTGTCACCGAAACCAAATTTCGCTGTTTGCTGCCCAAAGAAGTAGATGTCACCGAAACCAAATTTCGCTGTTTGCTGCCCAAAGAAGTAGATGTCACCGAAACCAAATTTCGCTGTTTGCTGCCCAAAGAAGTAGATGTCACCGAAACCAAATTTCGCTGATTGCTGCCCAAAGAAGTAGATGTCACCGAAACCAAATTTCGCTGTTTGCTGCCCGAAGAAGATGTCACTGAAACCAAATTTCGCTGATTGCTGCCCGAAGAATTAAGAACTTCATCACCCAAGTCGGCTACGCTTTTATGATTTACATGTGTATACTAGAACATTGACAATCCCTCTCTTTTATGTTAAAAAAAGAAACATAAAAAACAGTGTATGTACATCTTTTTCGTTTTTTGCATGTTTATATATATATATATATATATATATATATATTATTGTCTGCTTGCTCTATATTCCTATGATATTTGTCGAATTAATATTGTCGAACTGATTACTCATCTCCCCATCCCTTGTGTTATTAAGTTTCCTTTATTTCTTTCTTATCTTACTTTTGCGTCCTGTATATTTGTAAAGAAATTATTTCTATTATAAATTCTCGCATTGTCTCCTAGCGTTTTGTGTCCACGCATTATATATTTCTTGCTGTGTTCACCGGTGTCTGGATTCGGAGAATTCCCCTCCCACTTTTCTTTTTCTTTATTTTTACATTGAACCCTGGGATCTCTTATTTATTTATTTTTATTTTCTCATTGCGTCCCGGCTATCGTAGTCCTAACGAAACCCCGGGCGTAACAGAATATATACGGAGCCTTGTCAAAAAGTATCGCAGCTGTTGCTATAGCGGAGCTAAAGTATATAGAATGAAGCCGCATGTCACAGTTTGGCTATAAACTCTGTCGCGCATACGCACTTAGACATAACATCTAATTCAACTTGTATAGTTATTTTCGTCACAGTCGAATTAAAGCAAAAAAAAAAAAAAAGAAAGAAAGATTTTCTCATGATGAATGCCACTTGAACATGCTCATTTTTTGGTGAAAGTTCCAAAATCTTTTCGGGATATTAAACTCAACAGTAATTACCGTATTTTCCAGGTTACAAGACTCTGCGACTTGGAAGACGCAACCTAATATTGAAAAGAAATTTCTAAGAAAAAAATGCCATTCTCATACGACAACACATTCACCATGTGTCCCACATATACTGTCGCCACGTATTGTTTACATTAACCACTCGTTCGATTTTGCTTCTATGGTATGTCATACTATTTGGTGTTTAGTAAATATAGTGTTTTTTAGTAAATCTTTAATTGTCCAAGGGTGGTTTTAAATCGTTTTGATGAACTCGCCATTTGTGTTAATTTCCAGGACAAAAAGCTTGTGATACGTCTAACAGCCTGGTGGTAACTGATATTTTCACGGCATAAGAGCCTGGGCAAACTACACCACCAAGGTCAAGAACAGAAAGGCTGCTATTACTGCTAGTAAACGGAGCCTGTTTAGGTTTGTGGCTCGGCTCCAGGAAGGTTTATAGTCTTGGAAATACTTGTAATAGCTAAGGTGACATTATATAAAAGGCCGGATTAGATAGCTGACATTATACTGTAATGACTCAACATAAAAAATCACGTCCCTATCACTTAAGTCAATTAGGTGATCGTCAAAGCTTACTTGAGCTTGGACGTTGTCTTACATTTGTCTTGGAAGTCGCACACGTATTTCTCAGGGTATTTTTAGGAAAAAATATGCGTCTTGTAAGCCGGAAAATACCGTAAGCTGTATGGTTTGCTCGAAAACAAAATAGGGAATAAATTTGAACCAGTTTTTATAGATTAGAATTAATCAGATCTTCTCGAGCTACATTTGTTAGAATGGAAAATAGATTAATTCCATCAGTTCGGCCCTTCAGAACCCCGTGGTCATGTACCCTAGGTCAAATCATCCTCATTTTCACCGTATGCCCTTAATAAAATGGAAGTTCTATTTGGACAGCTTTTCTTTGAGAGCTGCTGTTTTGTAGAAGCGACAACTGAGAAAACGCTTCCTTAATCACTACAATCTTAAAGCTTTTCAAACCTAGTGTCAGCTGTCATCATTCTAAATATCCTCATAACATACTCTTCTGACGTTCACATCTTACGTTCATACAAAAATTCAGTAACTTTCTACATTGAGTGGCTCTTGAGACTTGTATTTGGTGAACAATTAGTAGACAAATGTGGATGCCTCAGTGATTTCATAGACCATACTTTGAAATTTGCTGATAGATTTGTTTTTTTATGGCTTATCAACCCTTTTGCAGGTCATTTAAAGCCATAAAATATTTTTTA